GGGGAGAGGGGGAAGGGAAACGGGCCTTTCAGGCGCGAGATAGATGACGGGCGATCGGGCGGGCAACCGTGTGAGTGGCAGGCACTTATTATTATCGGTTATTCGGTTCCGCGAGTGCCAATATTCTGTTATGTGCAACCCGGCGCGTCAGTCCAGCGAGGCTGGTTGGCTAGTTGGCTGGCTGGCTGGCTGGCTGGTCGGCAACATCTCTCGCCACCCCCGGTCATCCCTTGTCCGCTCCGCGTCCATTATTCGCGATGACCAGCCAGCCCCGGGATTGCATTTTTCTACGCGAAGTCTCCCCCCCCCCTCCTTCTCTCCGGTCTCCCGGGGGACCGTCTAGCAAATATCGCCGCGCGCACAATAAAATCGTCATATTACACACATACAGGCTGATTCGTTTCCGGACTTAAAGCCTGGTTTGCGGTTCCCTTTCATCAGCCTGGAGCTGAGCTTCCCTTAGACAAACAGCGAAGAGGGAGGAGAGGAAAGACTTAATTTAAGATTTTAAACTTTCAAAGGTGAAAAATTTAATAAAATACCTATGTTTAGAAAGTGGATATTAAAATATTTAAAGAAAAAAATAACAAATAAAAATAAAAATAATAATAAATTTTAAAATAAAAAATTTCTTGACGTAAAATTTCTTTAAAATTAAAAAAAGAGTTTCATTTCTACTTGAACTAATCTTTCTAAAGATTAATTTTTATCCTTTCTCCCCAGGTATTTATTATTGGCTCCTCAATATTTTTGTTGAGGTAAAATCAATTCCAGGTTGATTGAAAAATCCGCGTGTAAAATGTGGCTCAGCAGATCTGCGACGACTCGTACATGTATACGTACACACAATTTTTACAATTGATAACAAAAACTTCCGTGTGATACACGACAAAATGGAAACTCGACAGGCCATTAATCGACGCGCGATCGAACTCGATCTATGTGCAAAATTTGAAAAGCTTTCAGTAAAAACAATTCAGCAGTCGGATCTTCATCAACGGCCGTATATTACGGCATATAATAGCCGCCGAGTGCACCAACGTTTATTTCGTTTCCCTTATTTCCATTCTATGCAGAAAAGTTCATTTATTGATCACGAACATATTTGACGTTGAAAATGCGAACGTGATGAGATATTCTATAAAATTCGCGCCGGAAGAAAATGGTCTTACGATAAATATAATATACAATGTCCCTTATTTTAATCACACAAAGATGCTTAACTATTTTCTTAATAAAATATTTCAAATTGAAATTTTTAGAAATAAATTTTGATTGCCGCATTTTCAATAATGTAACAATATTGTCAATATTTTCGTAAAAAATTTAATTT